TATTTTCTGATGGTCTTATGCTCTGTCCATCTGTGTACAGGTGGCTAAAGCAAAGACATGAGGTATTTAGTGGGCACTGATGATTTGAATAATTATCTCTTTGGATCGTGGTTCTGGTTTTATCCACTGCAGAGTGTAACGTTAACATTAGGTTTAAAGATTTAACCTTATTAACAGCTTCAGTTCAATCACTGAGCCTCTGAAAAAAGACTTATTTACTTTCTGCTGCGTTTAGACTTTGCAGTGGTTTGGGAATAATTCATCTTTACAATTTCTCATAATCTGTTTGCCATGTTTGTTCCTTTACATCTACAGTAAATTCAGTAATATGCCTTTAATAAGAGATTTTTTTTATTTGAAATCATTAAAAAACTACATATGTTCAGAGGTAAATACTTTGATTAAAACTGAACTAAAGTTTGACACTTGGAGATTGTATCTGCAGGTAATTTTATGCTCTAATTGAGGACAAAACACCCTAGAATAATCTTTTTTCTGATCAAATTAGACTCACTCTTATAGAAGACCTAAACAAATAAATAAAATCTCTACAAAATATTCAGATTTTTTTTACATACAAACAAAAACATAAACTCATGAAGTTCCTTTAAATCTTGAGAAGTTTGAGTTTAAATGTTTTCAACTTTATGTTTTTATAAACAAGGATACAATTATATTCTTGTCTGAAGATCAGCTGTTTAAATAAAAGAAAAGTAAGTGCTGGTTAGAGGGTTAAGGTTATACTAACCCTAAGTCTGGACATTTTGTAGAGACTTTGTTTAACAGGAAGTGAACAAAACAGACTAAATCTGAGCAACATTATGGAAGTTTGATCTGAGTGTTTCTGGACTCTTTCTGTTTTTAGTTCTGAAGAAACATATTTTCTTTTTTAGGGACCTTCCTGATGTCTCTGTGAAGGACTTTTCTAAAGTCAACCTCAATGACTTTAAGTGGATTCACTGGGAGGTGAGCTAAGTCTCAACACAGAAATAAACCACACAAAAACTCAACTAAACATTTTTACTAACTAACATTTCACTAAATGGGACCACAGTACAGCAAAGGCAGCTTACAGGTTTATTCAAAGAAGTAAGACAATTCAAGTCAATTCAGTTTATTTAGCATATTTACAACCTGAGCTGACCAAAGAGCTTCACAATAATGCACCATGATGGCTGTATGATTTTTTTTATTTGGGCCAGACAAATGTAAAAAAGATCAAATAAACACCCAGTAGAGGTGGGCGATATATATATCGCAGACGATATTATCGTCCATGTTGCTTTGAAGATATGCAATTTTTCATTATATATACTGTATTATATATTTCATCCTCTGTCTCTGCCAAATCAAATGCATCTCGACACAGTCTGAACTTATCAAGTATGTAAAAATGTACAGTGAAAACAGTTGTGAATGATTGTGAGGATGGAGAACTGAGCTGCACAACCCGCTGCCAGACTCCATTCAGCTGCCGTGTTTTTGTTTCATATCACTGTACATTTTATTATAGGGTTGATGCGGGGTAGTAAAAGGTAGAAAATTAAAAGAGCTCAAATTAAGGCCAGTGAAAGGTAGTAAATTCAACTGTAGGATTCTTGTATAAACCCTGAATTAGACTTGATAAATAAATTTGGGCTTTACTGAGAAAGGAAGTGGAGGGGTGTTTTTTAATTCAGCAGAGGTAGGGAGTAAAAACTGAGAGCAGATGACAATATTTAATTTATTTCAGCCTCTGGCTTTAAATGTAGATTTTCAGAAAAAATAAGTGATGTGAATTACTTGACCAATCAGCACAATTCAAAAACTGGTCAATAGTTTAAATTCTGCGCTATTGGAACAAATTAAATTTACCAAGTGTTTAACCCACAAAGCTTACCTTTCCTCACAACGTCCTGATAGATCTGTCTGTTAGAGCACCACCTTTCATTACTCATATTCCCCTTAAATCAGTTGTTTGTATCATTCCTCAGTTCTGTACCCTTATTTCTCTTACATCTAAACGCCTGGGTCATTGCTGACTTGTAATTTTCAGTTTAAAAGGTTTCAAAGACAGAACACTGATGCGATGATGCAATAAAACCAGCCCATTTGATTTGAACAAACTTCACCCAGATCTTCTGAAGGTTTTAGTTTTTGGGGAAATAACGGACACTAACTTGGGTGTATTACTGCAGAACTGGGCAATCATCAGGTAAATAAGAAAGATAGGTTGATGCACATTATAAATCTGTGTCTGCCTTGAGGACGACGCTCTCCTGATGTCAGGGTCCACAAATAGAATGGAACAAAAATTCACTAAAATTGATTTTTAAAACAATGTAGTTATTTTTTAAGGATTTCAATAAGACACCTGTTTTTTATGTCTCTATCATACAATGCCTGGCCAAGAAAAGGTCACACTCTTAATATTTGGTTGGACCTTTAGCTTATGTTAGGGGAATTACAGAAATATAACAAATGTAATGTGATATATGAAATACCATGCCATACTTGTGAAAAAGTGAAGTCATTCTGTTTCCAACTAACAACACAAACAGTAACACTTGCATCAACCTTTCCACTCTGGCCCCGTTTGAAAAACAACTTGTCACCAACCTAGGTGTAAAAATGGATCCATACTTGAAATTAAAGTCATGTAAACTCCATTGTTAAATCCTGATTTTTTTCAGCTGAGGAGAGTCCGAGTTAAAACTCATCCTGTCAAATAGAAATCTGGAGACATTAATTCATGTGTTCATTACATCCAGGCTGGATAACTGTGATGTTCTGCTGTATGGAATCAGCCAGTTGCTCGTTTACAAATGGTCCAGAACACAGCAGCCTGATTTCTAACTGGACAAGAAAAAATATAACATATTACTCTTGTTGTAGCATCTGTTCACTGGCTTCTGATTCATTTCAGATTTCACTTTAAGATCCTCCTTGTAGGGGTCGGGGCTTATTTCAAATAAGCCTCCTCTACATACTTCTCGTAATCTCATAACAAAGTTATGAGAGAAATTTTTACCAAGGTTTTTTCTCATTACTTTAATATTTGACTGTGCAAATTGAAGAGTGACACAATAAGGGAACGTTCAGACGAGTTCAAGTTGATTCATAAAAGATTATGCAATCATTTATTTACACAAATTGAACAGATCATTAGTTACACCTGATTGTGGATTTTCCTATAACAAGCTTCAGAGTTAAATGAGATAAAACTCGCGTCCGAATTTCAGTTCACATTAAAACTCAGATTACTTATATAGACAGTAAAACGTCAGTTCTGATGTTAAAACCAAACAATTCTACTGGCACTTTTAACTTAAGATTGGCAAAGAAAGGACAAAGAAAAGGTTTGAAATTAAGGTTAGTGTTTCTGCTTTTATTTTGGTAAGGGTATGTGACAACCGGATCAGCACGTCCCCTCTGTGCTCAGAACTTCACATGACACGTCACCCCAGAACACGTCAGTGTTTACCTGTTGATGGCTTCTTGGCCACACTCCGGGCAAATACACTGCCTCACCTCAGACCAGTCAGGGAACGAGTTCCTCGGCCCGCTCAATGCTCCGTGGCGAGAAAGTGTTATTTTAGGCGACTTCGTCTGTTTCAGTCCCAGCCAGAAAGATTCTAGCTGAAGTTTCCGGTCGTCCTTCAAAATAAAAGTTCTCCCCTCGGGAGTTAAAAACACTTGAGAGACCTAAGTCTCAGGGTGGACCAAAGGCGGCTTGCCTTTGTCCGGGCCGTCGGGTCCTGCCCTATTTGGCTGATGGGCGAGATCCGAAGCCAGGCTGGTCCTCCGGAGAGAAATCCAGCCGGTCTCCCTCTTTGGCATTCAGGAAGAAGTCTGTGTGTCTCTCAAAGACGTCCGTGTTAGTACAGAGTCGGACGACTTTGGATCCGCCCTCAGGCGTTAGAGATGAGTCAGAGAAAGAAAAGGAAGATAAAGACTTTGCCAGTGGCGCCAGTCAAGGATAAATTCTGTGGCTGTCACAACAGAATGATAATATCTTCTTTAGCTTTCCTTTCTGATAGACTCCAAGAGAAATCACTGTAAAACATTTATGATGATTAATTAACATTTCTGGTTAAATAATCAGTCTGAACTTGGTGTCCAGATAAATGAAAGATTTTCTTAAGAAAACTCAAAATTATATTACTGATGTTTCCAGTAAAGTAAAAACAGTGATTTATATAAAAACACAATGAAAACATGGTGATGATTTTCTCTGTGATTTTTATACCATTAATTAATCTTTTAGGCACGATAAAAGAGTAGAAGTGATTCTGCTTTCTTTGTGACATGTCATTATTATGATTAACAAATGCATAAACATTCTTAGTTAAACAACAAATGAATCACGAACAGAAAAGATTGTTTCTGTTCATTATCTGATTAAGAGAACTGAAGTTCTCTTCTAGGTTGAAATGACCTGTCATGGCCTAAAATAGAGTTCAGTGTTCCTGCCTTCTGTCAGGCCTGTCCGAGACCTGCTTTGAGGCAGTAACTCTTGTTTCTTCACTCGAGGTGACCCCTACATCCTGTATGTGTTTAATTGCCTAAACAGCTCCGCCCCTTCTAACCTCTCAGGTCTAGTGTATCCACTTGTCCCACAGCTCTCTGATCATCTGGTCATCTGCTTCTGAAGGTCCCTGACTCTGGTCTCAAACTGAGAGGTGACAAATCCTTTTCTGTAGCAGGTCCAAACCTGTGGACTGATCTACCACTACATGTCAGACAGTCTCCTTCCCTCGCTGTCTTCAAGTCTCGTTTAAAAACACACTACTGCTGCCTTGCCTTTGAGTCTGAGTGAGATGGTGCAAAACCTCACTGTGTATCATAACTCTGTTCTATATGTACTGTAAATATAAATGCTCCATATTTTAACTGTATTTTGAACATGTCCTGTTGTGTCTGTCTGCTGTACAGCACTTTGGTTGGCCTTGTGCTGTTTAAAGTGCTTTATAAATAAAAGTGGTATGGTGTGGTGTGGTGTGGTGTGGTGTGGTATGGTATGGTATGGTATGGTATGGTAAAAAACATATGTAGGGAAGACGGGACAATCCTGCACTTCAATAAGGAATGAGCATTAAAAAGAATGTGCGAAAGGAACAGAAAAAGACTAACTCAAACCAAAAAAGAAGAGGCATTGCAAGAAAACTAATCAGTCATCACTGACCACTGCAAATGGGAAAATCTTATCATGAACTGGGAAAGAGCCAAAATCACCTGCAGGGAGGATAACACACATCAGTGTTGGATCATGGAGGCGATGGAGATCAGAAAGTGAACCCACACAGCTATGAACTGGGATGAGAGTGACATCCTCCAGCAGTGAAGCCAGCAGGAGGCGCTGTCGGCTCATCTATGCATCGATAAGCTGACACTGCCTCCTGACAATGTCAGCTGGGACACCTCTGGTAAAATCAGAAGTAAAAACATTAAAACATGTTTGGTATGTCTGAAGAGACATAAAATAAATGTTTCTAGCAACAAAGAAAGATTTTAGGATTAATTGTTGAAGTTTTTTAGGTGGAATTCTTTCCCATTCGTGTCTTATGTACAAGTTTCTGAAAAGTGCAGTTTCTGTTGTCATTTATTGCACTTCATAATGTGCCACACATTTTCATTGGGAGACAAGTCTGGACTGAAGGAAAGTTTTTTTATTTTATTTAATTTTTCCTGTCTGCTGTCCTGCAGGGCAGAAACGCTGAAGAACAGGTGAAGATGATCCAGCAGGTGGATGTGTTTAATAGCAAACTTCCTGAACATCTGAAAATCACCATCTCTGTGGAGATCGAGAAAACTCGGGAGCCATTGTATCAGCTGTTTCCATATGGCGATGTGGTATGGGTCTCCTAAAGGATGTTTTTAATCTTTCTGTACTAGTTTTATCTACTGAAATGACTAAAACCTGTTCTGTCAGTTCATGTTCAGTACTTTGCATTAAATATGATATAAAATGTATATTTCTGTTTCTTTAAATTAGGTCATTATGTGACATTACACAAACCTTTGAGGTTATTTTTTATTAACCTTTATTTAAAACAGGCTCTTGAGTTTAAAGCTGTTCCTCGTCTCTTCCTGTGTGTGGTGTTTATAGAAAGAATCAGGTATAGTTTTGAAATCTCTGGGTTTCACACATGATGTAATTCTTAAAGGAGATAAAGTGTCTTTAAGCCATGACCTGGGGGGGGGGGGGGG